GTTTAACACTATGGAAACAGAATTGAAAGTTGAATATGTGCCAAAATGTAATGCTGATAGCATGTACGTTCAAAAAACATACATAGTAACCACACTTCAGTGCTGATTAGGCCCGGTTTCCATAGCAATATGATTTATTTCCAGTAGAATTTTTCAACTTAAAACAGTAAGCTTACCCTCATTAAAATAAATTAAAAGTTCATCAATATTTGTTTTTCCATTATATACAGATCATAATGCCTGGTTATGGCAATAAGATAGAAATTCCCACCAGAGAGCAAAAATCAAGTAAAGCTGCCATTGTTGATCTGGAACTAAATGAATTCTTGTCAGTTGTGAGGAGCAGCAGCCCAGAAAGGACACTGAGTACCAAATGTGTTGCACTGGGGCTGCAGGTCTGGATTCTTCAGACCTGCAATGTGCTATAATGCACAGATGAATACATCAGTCTTACCTTAAGTAGAAAAAAAATTAAAGAAAAAGAATGATTTTCTCCTAGCTCTCTGTAGGGCTAAGGGAACACTTAGCCTTGAATGGGGCAGAGAAGTCAAGAACTAGAAGAAAATAACAATAATGAAAGTTAACATTTATTGCATTCTTACTTTGTGCCAAATGCTATTCTAAGCTCCTCCTTTGAGTCATCTCAGTTACCCTCCCCATCAGCTCCAAGAGGTAGGTACTACTACTGTCCTTGGTTTACAGATGTGGAAACCAATGCACAGGAAGTATCTTGTCCCAGGGCACACATTTGGGGATTGGGAAAGCTAGGATTTAAGCTCTGGAATTTTGGCCCCCAAACCTAAACTTTTATCTCCTCATCTACACAGGGAAGGATGTTAAAAAGAGAAAGCTTCATACTCAAGCTTCTACAGTGTCCTAAGTGACCAAACTTGAGATCTTAAGCTACAGGTTCACTGGGATTTTCATCATCCCAGGCTGGCTCTTCACACATAGACTAGCGTGTTCAGAGAATGAAAAGAGACTCATGAGAAGCAGAATCGTGAAAGTGATAAAGGCATCTGTCTTTCTAATGCTTTTTCATAAACATACACATTCTCTAATTTCAAATACACAGCTTTCTTCAAAACTCCCGTTACAGCTCAAAGTCAGCTAAAGCCCAGATTCTGGTGGAGCTGCAATTTGGTTAGCTGATAATAACTGAACCTCTGGTTGGAACTTGAAATTATTGCTGTTCAGCAATTGTTGTATTTGGAGAAATAGGGTCTGATCCACATTCCTTTCAGCCAAGGAATGATGATATTGTACAATGGCTGCATTTCACTCACCAGCTATCTTTGCTGACCTTGTGGATAAAAATATCTTGATTAAAAACAAGTACTTTGGCAGCTACCTGATGACAGCACAACCAGAAAAGTTTTTCTGTGAGCTGAAGTAAGAAGATAAATATGGAGGAAGCAGTTTTGTATAGTGATTAATAATGTTGTCACTTCTTCAGGAGGGTCAAATCTCATTTCTACCACCTACTAGGTCAGTAACCTCGAACAAGTTATATAACCCCTCTAAGGCTCAGTTTGCTTCTTTATAAAATGGGGCAAATGATACCACCCTTATAGTGTTGTATAAATTAAGTGAGATAATAAATATTAAGCAGTTAGAATGGTATCTGGCACACTATAAGCCTCAGCCCTGGCTTCCTTTACCCTTTGCATGCCAATGATACTAAACTTTTTGAAGTTGTCCAAGTATGCCATGTTCTCTAAGTCATCAGTGCCTTTCTACTCTGTCTGGAAGACCTATCTCCTATATATTCTCTTGAAAAATACCCTTCATTTTTCAAGTGTAGCTGAAGTTACTCATGTCTCATTCAGGCAGTCTTATATATCTCTTCTATTCTCCACTGTTTCTCATAATCCATTTTATGATGCTTTTTTTTTTTTTTTTTTTT